TCCTCCTCCACCTTCACCACCACCTTAGGCCGCGGTGTCGTTATGTCGTTATCGGCGACGGCCGACCACGGCGTAATACCCTGGTGCAAAAAGCGCAGGAATTAATGCGCCGGTGAGAAAACGGCTTCATATTACGGACGTGCTTGACCTGTTTACAGCGACTCGCTTGACACTTCCGCAGTTATCCGTCGAAGCTTCAGCGTCTTATCGAGATCCGATTTTCGCTTGCACTAGTGGCCTTCTCATGACGGAGGGTCCTGACAACGCGACAAATCCCAATGGCAATTGCCGAGATTAGGTTAATCGGCGCTTTCTCCGATCGCGAGGCTCCACGCGGTCTCGGTTACGTTACGCAATCGCTACGCCGAAAATAATCGCACGCGACGCGCGGATCGAGTGGCAAACGGCAAGAATAGGAAGCAGACTACAAGGCTACGATGAGACGATGGCGTGGCTGAGACAAGTAATAGGAGAAAAAATAACAGAACCGTGGCACCGCAGGCAAATGTCCCCTCGGCGATCAATGCGCCGTAAGCCCGGACGGGGCTGTCGCTACAGTTTGGTGAGAAGGGACATTGAGAACAAAGTGTCCACCGAGGAAATAAGGTTAATAATGCGCGACGTTGATAATCTCTTCTGCGTGAGAAGGCAGCTACGCACGGGTCTCTCGCAGCCGAAATAAATAGGAAAATGTTGGCTGGCGCGCAAAAAAGGAGTGACAAGGAACGAGGACGGCTAGGCGTTTTTTAAGAGGACGAGCCGCCGGGCTTTGAGATCGCGGGGAGCCCGTGGGATTTGAACGAGAGAGAGAGAGAGAGAGTGTGGGGGGGGGCTAGAGAGACAGGGGGGAGGGGGGTTGTGGTTGAGATTGCGATTCAACTATGGGGTGGGGCGGGAAGTACGGCGGAAGGTGGATGAGGTTAGGGCTCCGAAGAGGGAAGTGTGCATATGCGTGGACGCGTAATTTAACGAGTTTGTGTGTTTGCGTTTGTGTGTGTGTGTATGCGTGTGCGTGTGTGTGTGTGTGTGTGTGTTGGGGGAGGGAGACAAGAGAAAAGCCGCTGAAAATGAAAATTGTATTAAAAAAAATCAGTTAATGAATTGCTCACCCCATAAACCAGTCGACGGTATCGCGGAGGTACTCGGGTAGCCTATCCAGTTTGGCTGATTTCGCGGGCCAGAGCACCGCCGTCGACAGTGTCCGAGGATCCTCCTCTTCCTCGGCGGCGCCTGTACACGAACGCGCTCACACAGGGTCGCGCGCGCGCGCACACACACACATATATATAAATATATGTAGCCGCGGGCACGGAAGGGCGCACAACAAAAGGCGAGCAAACGAGAATAATAAGAGTAACAATAATGATGTTGACGATGATGATGATGCTTATGATGATGACAATGAAGATGATGACGATAATAATGATAATGATAATAATAATAATAATAATAATAATAATAATAATAAATAAATAATAATAATGGCAACAATGCCAATAATTGGTAGTAGTAGTAAGTAGTGATAGTAGTGGTAATAGTAGTAGTGGTAGTGTTTCTAGTGGTAGTAGTATCAATAGTAGGAGTAGTAATGATGATAGTGACAATAACAATAAATCTAATAGTGGTGGTAGTGCTAGTTGTGCAGTAGAATTGTAACGGTATTGGTAGTGGTAGTGGTAGCGATAGTGATAGTGGTAATGGCAATAGAAGTGTTAATGATATTGGTAGTAGTATTGGAATTAGAATTGGAATTGGTATTGGCAGTGGTGGTGGTAGTGGTAATGGTATTGGTAGGGGTGTTATAGTAGTATTATTAGTAGAGATAGTAGTTGTAGTGGTAGCAGTAGTGATGGTAGTAGTGGTAGTAGGGGTAGTAGTAATAATAGCAGTGGTAATAGTAATTGTGATAGCAGTTGTAGTAGTAGTGTAGTAGTAGTAGAAGTGGTATTAATAGTAGTAGTAGTAGCAGTAGTAGTAGCAGTAGTAGTAGTAGTAGTAGTAGTAGTAGTAGTAGTAGTAGTAGTAGTAGTAATAGTGGTAGTGGTAGTGGTAGTAGTTTTTGTAATATTATTAATAGTATTAATAATAATAATAGTAATAATAATAATAATAATAATAATAATAATAATAATAATAAGACGAGGCGGCACACGGCACTAGCGCGAGGCGATCCGCGCTGCTGCTCCCCTCGTCGAGTCCAACATCATCATGGCGAGGGCCCGGCGCGCTCGCTCGCTTCCTTCCCCACGCGGACGACGCGCAGCTGCACCGCCGGGGTCGTCACCGGGGGGCCTCACGAGAACGCCGGCGACGAGGGGGCGACGTCGACTTCTCGTTGTTCGTGCTGTTGTTGCTGTTGCTGTTGTTGTTGTTGTTGTCGTTGCTGCTGCTGCTGCCGCCGCGCTGCAACGACGACACGACGCGCGTCCGACGGCAACATTATCTCCCCCCCCCCGGCCAGCGAAGACGCTTTTCTTCGTCGGCTGTCTAGGGGTGGGCAGCTACGGGGATCCGAGCGAGCCCCGCGTTCCCTAGTGCGCCGTTATCCTTAGACGCAGCATTAACCCTCAGGTCGGTTGGCCGCCCAACAATCCTCCTTTCGCACTCCGAAACTCGAGCTGCGACACTGGCGCGAACAGCTCGTGTAACAGCGGATCGAGCCGATCCGACGAGTACTTCGACCAGTCCACGTTCCTAGAACGTTCCGAGTGACATGCGCGCCACCAGTTATTGACGCTATCCACTTACCAGCTGATGCTTTAATCAGTCCCTTCTTTACCCGCCGACGTTTCGCACCTCCCCCTACATTCCGGCAGTTGCGCACTTTGCGTGCCATACACCTCCCGATGCAATCGATTGCTCCTCCACCTCTTCCTTCTACTTCTCCTCCTCCTCCTCCTTCAGCACCACGTCTGTGTCGACCATCCCCGATTCCTACATAATGTGCGCGTATCTAACTGTGCATCTAATATCCTCTTTTGGTCGGACAGCTCGAATCCTTCCCTTCAGTACACGACACCTCTATCCTCTTTGCTCCACACCGCTTTTATGTCGATGAGACCGTTATCTACATTGACATAATTATTAGTAGAAAATCGGTATTGAACTAATGTAAAAAGTAGGGATCGATGGAATATAATTTGCGTCAAGGTAACATATTTTTACATCTGCTCGGCCATATTTAAAAATGTAAAGCATTAACTCTCTTTTTTCTCATTTCGTTGTATACTATTAAGTATTATAATAAATAAAAGTTACTTGACTAAAAATATTAAATATAATACTGGAATATTATGCATTTGAATTATGCGTAATCAAGCCTTCGTCGATAATAATAAGTTCATTAATAACTAGAAATATGTGCTAAAACTGACCTTAATTAAAGAAAAAAAGTGCAAAAAATTATAAAAAATTTAAAGTAAGAAAAAAATTGATTAGCAGTCAAATTATGTACAAATATTCCTCTTCTGAATTCATAATTGTAGCGAATATTTTTATAATTACATTGCTGAATAAATTTTTTGTTAAATTGCAAGAAGATATTAGAAATTTAGGTATTGAAATCCTTATTCCATAATCTCTTTGTTCATATTATAATAAAGATATTGTAATTAACTTTAAAATTCCAATTAAAGTATTTAATATCGAGTGCTTAGATATTAGAACTTAGAAATACAATTATTAAGTCATTGTAGTTTCATAAATAAAAGAAATACTGGATAATTCGAATACTTAATATGGTTTTGTGAAGCATCTTTCTCAATAGCAGAATGTTTTTTATCAATACGAATGCAAAACAAAAAATTTCATGATTAATGATGTATATAAAATTTCAGAATTTATTCATAAATGTGATATTTTTAAATTAAAAAATCATTATACTATTAAATGATAATTAGAAAATGAATATTCAGATACGCTGCATTGAGTTTCTACTACTTTTTTGCTTCGATATTATTCCATTTTATCGAAACTGTTCTTAAAAACATATTATTTGTGCAAAAATCGAAAAGATTTGATACGAAAAATTTGTATTTACATTACCTATTTGCTATTTATTTAACATTAACAACTTCAATATGCCGACAAACTAGTCTTATCTATTTTTTGTAAATGATATAATGAATGTTTTATAAACATAATAAATATTTCTATATACCGTCTTCTTAAAAAGCATTGATTAATTATTAATCAGTAATAATTACCTTTTAATTGAATTAGTTTTTATTAAGACTATGTGTTCGATATATGCATTAGTTACAATTTAATTTAATTTCTGTTTCTTAAACGATCACAAAAATTATTTAATATGCTTAAAACGTACTTGCCCAATCATAGAAAGCTTAAAATTTTTTCATTTAGTATACATATCACATATGTGACATATTTCATTTCACAGACTAATATATTTTTTATATATTTAGCATTATTCTCATGCTAAAAAATATTTTTCTTATAAATAAATATTATTAAATTCAATGTTTTATCTATGATATTATTATTGTTAAAATATTCTTTCGACAAATTTTTTTTACATAAAATTTTGATTTATAAGTACTTAATAAATAGTTTCTATGTTCTTACAATTTAAAATTCAACGTTAAATCTTTCAATAATCTTTAAAATTTTCACTTTTCATCATATATAAACAATTTATAAAATTCTAAATGTAATATTAGTCATTGATATGAACTTATATGGATTAATTAAAAGTAATATAAGAATAGATAATTTTAAAAATATTCAAATGTTTCTTTCCCATCTTGTGAGAAGAAGGTGAAGAAATTCATTGTAATTTATCCATTATTCAGAAGACGGAAACATATACTGTATTTTATCCAACGACTTCTATAATAATTAGTGATTAATCATTTTAATCGTTATGTTAAACGTCGAAAAGAAATATATGACTTTTAAAATCTCCATTATATTGGAATAATATCATTTATTAGTTTCATAAAAATATAGTATAATAGAAAGGTAAAAGAAAAGTTTATAGTTGCTCGATACTTTTCAACTTGTTCTTTAAGCTAAAAGAGCTACACTTTTACAAATTACTGTATAGTACCATTGATTTATTTTTATAATTGTGTTAATTAACTTTTTATTCAGTGATCCTTTAGAATTAAAAATACTAATCTTATCTGGTTTATTTCCTTCTCAGACACGGCAAAAAATTGATAATATTCAATGGTTTATATTGCCTTTACAATATTCAAACGACTTAAGATATTATTAAAATTTTTTAATCAGATTAAAATTACAAAATTTTTAAATTTTACAAAAACACATATTAAATAAAACTGAAATTTTTATTTCTAAATTCAGTTAAAAGTGAAATTCAGATTAAAGATTTTATAAATACGTATTTTGTAAAACAATTCTATATAGAAATATTAGTAATTACACTTTTGTAAAGTTTGCAGCACCAATTCGGTTAAAACGAAATATTGAAATACGTTATGTACTCAGACAAGAATGAAAATAGATTCTTAAACGTTCGAATAATCATTAGATAACATACTAATTATTAACTTTTAGAAGATATTTATATATAATATCGATATTAATCTACCATGACTCCCTCAAGCAACTATTGCTTTCTCTTTATTAACTTCCTATTATGTTCTTTTATAGATGACTCTTATTTTCATACTTGATCTAAGGAAATCCACTGTAATTAATTCTAAAAATAATTTAAAAATCTCCTAGGCCATTTAATTTCTATACATTTCTAATAAATAATTATTAATAAAATAATATGTAAATATGAAGATTAATTATTTGCTAGATAATGATACAGTTTATAATATGGACTAATTAAAATATTATGCATATACGTATCTTTTTTTTCAAGCTTACCTTATTGTAAAACTCAGTTAATTTTTTAAAATTGACTTATGCCGCTTGATCAATTAAAACGAGCGTAACTACACCGAATGATATTTACACGATTACATCACCATCAAATTACACTTTGACAATTTTTTTCAATATTTCCGTATTTAAATTTCGCACGCGTACGCACGCACGCACGCACACACACACAGAGAGAGAGAGAGAGAGAGAGAGAGAGAGAGAGAGACAGACAGACAGACAGACAGACAGACAGACTGACTGACAGACGCATAAAAAACATTTTAATACTATATTATTCGTGAATTTAAAAAAATAATTTCTTAAATGCAATCAATGAGATAGAGATATCGATGATATACAATTTTAAAAAGCTTTTGTTTTTTAATGGCCTCAGTAGAATTTTCAATACTGTTGCATACGACGAACACATCTAAATATTTTACAAAATCAATTATTCAGAACAAATGAAGGTGAAAAAGAAAAATGCAGTTTTGTGTTAAATACTTGATATATAATATACGAATAAATTGTTAAAATGTAAATATATAATGAAAAATAATGTTTGTCGTAGTAGAAATCATTATATCATTGAATAATCATTGAAAACTTTCATAATCATTATGATATAATTACCTTTACAAAAACTTACTTATTTGTTAATTATGAGGAATAAATGAATTTGTAATACCTATTAAAATACTATTTATTTAAGATAAATTTCAAATATGATAAATGCTACAAATTTTATTTTATTGCATGTAAAATTATTAACTAAAATGTAAAAATATTCATTAAAAAAATTAGAAAATTTTTTTATATTCTCGAAGTCTCGTAAGTAACAAGAAAAGCGAAGACGAACAAGAATTACATTATATTCAATCTGTCTATTCCTTTAAATTTAATTATAAATAAAATCAGGTCACCATACTTACAGGAAAGTAAATTGCTTAACACTCAGAAATTAACTATGTATTTCCAAATGAATTAAATTGA